TGCATAGGCGGTCTGCTAGGTATTCAGTAAAGCGGCTAATGCATAGGAGCTGAACCTTTTGTCAAAACACCTTCAATTGCTTAGACCTATCGCCTTCCCGTTCTTTCGCCTTTCTTCCACCTGGGAATTGAGTTAACAGAAAACCAATGTGAGAGTGTGAACCGCTCAGTCGTCCCACTTGGGTGCTGGGTGTGATCCTCCGCAAGGAGGCGCTGTTCTCATGCCGGAAATCGTGTAACGGCTTTCCTTTTTCCACCAAACCTTGGATTCTCTTAACTGCTTCCTTTTCACTACTGGATCGGCTGACTCAAATAGCCGCCGGGCTTTCACGGAAACTCCAAGTTTCATGGCATGGGGTTGCGTTGGAACTGGAGACTCGAATAGGAGACCCTTCAACAAGTTTCCACGGTGAACGGTGAGACACGGCACCCCTCCCTACCCCCTGGCCCCCGTTGCTATCCCACCCGCTATTCGGGCAACAGAAGGAAATCGCACTCAACACACTTGTGTGTTGGTGCCTTTCCTTCTGTTTCTCCTATCTATTGCTAGCTACCCGAGCGGTCTAAGACAAAGGTCCCGCTCGCGAGCTACTTTCATTTAACTAAGTGGGCCTCGTAACTACACCTATCTTTCTTTCTTGCCCTCTTAGTCTGCTTTTGTTTTGTTTTCTTTGTCTGTCTTTCAAAGGCTTTTTAGGTGGCTAGTAATTTTTCCGCCGCACCAGAACTGGCGCTATATGTACAAAGTTGTTGCACACAGAGCGCCGATAGCGGCACTATGTGTGTGTTAACACCTGTTTCTAAGGTTTTGCCTGGTAATTTTTACCGTCGGTTCCACTAGAAGGCTGGGTGCTACTAGTACTTTCCGACCTTACTACTAGGACCAAAAGAAGCAGGGGGCCACAGACCTGCCACTGCTGCTGTGGCCAACGAAGACCGGCAGTGGCAGGTGTGAAAACGTACCTGCAAAACTGTTTAAAACTGTTTAAAGCGGCTAGTGCATAGGCGGTCTGCTAGGTTTTCTGTAAAACGGCTAATGCTAGGTATTCAGTATTCCCGTTCTTTCGCCTTTCTTCCACCTGGGAATTGAGTTAACAGAAAACCAATGTCAGAGTGTGTGTGTGTGTGTATGTGTTTGCGTCTCTGCACATGAGGTGAATAGGTTAGTACACGATTGGCCCTGTGTGTGTGTGCACGTGTGTTTCAATCAGCCACCTGCAAGCGATACTGATAGTTATATATTTTTGTCAGCATTCCTGGACTTATTTCAACTTATTTTCCCACATGGTCAGTATCAAAGAGCAGACATTTTCCCTTTGGAACGAAGGAGGCCAAGTGATACAGTGGCATGCGTTGGATGGGGCTCCTTGGTGTTTATGTCAGCCTCCCCAGCCGAGGTTAATCAAGTTCTGAGCTTATACTTAGTCGATGCATGTTGATATTTTAGTAACTGTGTTAAGAATACCTGATCGATTCGTCCGCAACTGCCCAAGCGCAACTTATGAACCCTTAACCTGTCAAGCCGGCCTCGTGTGAGACCCAGATCACGAAGCAAGAAGATAACGCTGACATACGCTGACCACTGACCACTGAGGTGAGTGCCTTTTTGCAGGAGGTGACGACCTTCCTTCAGCAAACCGACTTCGCCGCCACGCCTGGCGCGACAGATCGCTACCCTCACCTCAGCTTGCTGCTGCGCGGGTAGGGCCGTAGGGCCGGAAGAGGTCGGGCGCGCGGCGCTGGGCACTTGGGGGCGCTTGGAGGGGCCCTCAAATCAGGAAGCCCTTAGAAGCCTGGAGCCCAGGCATGTCGAGTCATGATGAACATTAACATGACGAACAATTACCATGGTGGCCATTCTTCTCTTGAAAGTCCTGGGATGGCTAGTAGATGATCCCGTTTGACAGATGTTGTCACATGTGCGATCATTCTTCGCAGACAAGTCTAGATCCACATCCGCATTTGCGACGTGCTGGTGAAATCAAGTGAAATCCTTGTTGAGGTCGCCTACAGGAGGCCAAAACGAACACAGCAAGGCGGGACATTGTTTAGTAAAGCAAGTGTAAGGTTGTAAGGAAACCGTATCCATCCGACATGGCTGCAACACGAGAACAGGGTGAGGGCCTTTGTTTCCCGGCTCCGAATTCAGACCCTGCGTGCGGGTGTGTAAAGAGCAAGGCCTGCTGCATCATCAAGAATGGAAGATCATCCGCGCAAGTTGACCTTGGTTGTTTCGTTCGGGTCACCTGCAGTTCTGCGACAAGGAAACTGCGGCAACTCAGTAGCTGCTAGCAACCATCATGGAAGAACTTGCCATCCGGGAAGATACTACCATAACCCTCAGAAAGCACGCTGCAGCTATGAATCCTTGGACGCAGGCAGATGTTTGGGCAATCGCGTTGAAGCATACCTCACTTGATCATTTTGTATTGCTGTATTGTGGTCAATGATTGGGACGTATGTGTTCTTTCAATTTCCCTTGTAACGATCATTGATGAAAAAGTTGGTGTCCTCGACCATCCTCGAACCGTTTCATGTTCGTGAAGCACCCCAATGAAAGTGGTTCGACCAGGTAGTCACAGTTCGACCTGTTTGCGGTGTCCGACGTTCGACCAAAGTGCGGTCCATGTTTTCCATATTTTTTGGGAACGACCCATGAATGAGTTCATGAATGGGTTCAGTTCATGGGTTCAGTTGACATATTCAGTTCATGAATGAATATGTTCCAAACGGGTTCAGTTCATGTTGACATATTGTGACCTACACCCTTCAGAACTTGAATATTTGCAGAGCCCGAATGAGCTGTGCATGAGCCCGCATGGGGCTGGTCACCCGGGCCCACGACATCGGATGGCCAGCAGATGCAAAAAAGTGTCCGTGAAACCCTATCAGGGGCAAAGAAGAACAGGGTTTGGCTCCTAACCCAGCAGGTTTTTACCCCAACTCACTGAGTTACTGAGTTCTTGGATAGCCAGTGGTTACGGCAAGACAGAATCATGCAGCAAAGCCCCAGTTCGCCGCCAATGAGACCTTCCGGACTTAAAAGGGGGGTCCGAGAATCCGATCCATGGTTGTCCTCATCTACATACTTATAATGAAAATGAAACATATCCCCGGCACCAAGAGGGTACTCAATTCACGCAACTTGGTCCCTGGGCCCTTCGAAATGCTTTTCTTCATTTGTTTGGCTGTTAGGCCAGAGATGGCCAGAGGCTTCAAGACCATCAGGTATTGCTTGGAATATGTCCCTTTTGCTCAGCAGGGCCGAGCATCAAGCATGCTTTTCCCCTTGGAAGGCATCCCGTACAATTCTGGCATAGAAAGAATTACAGCACCCTGACTCGCCAATTCAACAGGTAGCTGCATCGCTCCTGTTTTACCAGACATTTGATGGTCAAAAGATACCGCAGCATTTGGGAAACGCAGAGATCCCCTGACCTTTCTGGTGTTCCACTCATAGGCCGCGCAGGAGTTCATAGCCTTTTGGGGGAGATATCAATTTTCAATTGGACAAAACAACATGGTCTTTCGTGAAATCCAGGTGAGTCATTTGGCGGTTGGAAATGAACGTTTGGGCCATACGCCTGCGCAACGTTTGCGCCATGCACCAGGGTGCACTGGGTCCATCCCAGGTTCAAGAGGGCAGAGGTTCTGGCAATGCCAGCGGAAAACCTGGCCCAGGCACAGCTCTTCTGGTGGATTTAGCATTGGGAGACGGATTCCAATGAATGGAACGGGCCTGAAGTCTGAGGACCCCTGCAAATACATGGTGGAGGTCACCATGGAATAATGCTGTAACCACCCTTAACGCAGGGTGACACCCACATGGACCCTGCGCCAGGGAGAGGCCAATTGATATAATTGATTTGTTTGGGGCGGACGACATGCAAACAGTTTGGCAAGCAATTTGCAATTCAACCAGTTGAAACTGGGAATGGGGACTTCCATGATCGCTCGTGCCGACCTATTGGATATAACTATGTTCGTGAGTGGCGAGTGGCCAGAACTTCTCGCGTCAACGGCTACTACACTAAATTTAAGTCACAGAATTGCGTTACTGGTAGGCAAATGTCAGTGCAGGGAATCTCATGTCATTTAAGATTATGGAGATTGCTTGCGCTTTTGTTTCAATGTGATAAGTTAGTGATAAGTCAACAAGCTCATTGAAGTCTCGCGGTGTTCATTGCAGAGATTGGAGGCATGCATAAGTATGTGTGTGCGTTCTAATCTGTTTCCGGTTGAGGTTTGCGTTTGGGTATTTGGTTGGAGAAAATGATATTGTGACCGGCCAAACATTTGCAGACTGCAGTGCAGGGAAGAGTAACGAACACATGAGCACACGGGTTTACGCCCTTGTATGCAGAACAAGCTTTCACAGCACCATGGAGGGCAACGTAACAAAGCACATAGGCCTGCAGACTAGCATGTACCATGTAAAGGAACAACATGTGGCCTCAAGAGATATGTTCATGGCGTTCAATGTATCCTCATTTGGGCCTGGGCCAGGTTTTCTGACTATGTTTTTACATACATTTGGTTGTTTTTATGTTGTTTTTTATGACACACATCTTTGGGACGTCCCATGTCCATCTCCAATCGTCCCATCCCTCCGCCAGACTGTGGTCACCAGCTGCTGGGGGCCCACCATCGATCAGTTCTTCCAGGCGAACGGTGGAGTTTCACGCGGGTGGCCATGACCGGGATGGCAACCAGGGTGTGCTGATGTGTGGTTGATTTTTTGAGGGATCCAAGTATGTACCTTTTTAGAAGGTGATTGGAGACACTGTTGTGCAGGTTTGGAGGGTCCAGGCGCCGCCTGACTGAGAAGGTACTTGGATTCCTAGGGAATGATTTTGAATGGTGGAAGGTTTCGCTGAACTTGAATGGAAGTCGCTTGTGCGACGTTCATGGCAATTTCAGAGAAAGGATATGCAAGTCCTTGTTTGCACTGGAGCCTTGAAACGAAATGACGCACTCAGTGGGAATCGGAGCCAACCATGGTCAGGTAGCTCACCCTTAGCAACATGGAACGCAACCCTTGGAGCTACTCACTCATGGAGCAGAATATGGGGAGTGTTTGGAGTGGCCGGTTGGCCCAAATGCTATCCAGCTTGGAGTTCAACTGCACCAAGCAAGGCTGGACCAGAATGGTTCATTCGGATTGCCACCACAGATTTGCTGACCCATTCTTGCTCAAATTGCAAGGGCCACGTGTTGTCAGAACCTTCGCTGGTCCACTGGCAGTGGCCAAGCGAACCACACAAACCTGTTTGGACTGGCGAGCGTGCTGAGTACTCATCTCTATATATATAGGTGTGTTTTATTTGGTGGGAGTATGCTAGTGGAAGATGGAAAGATTCAACATCACAAGCATGCACATCTTGACATTCATCCTTGATGTGATAGGTGGAAAAGCATTTGTTTGCCTTTGTAAGTGCTGCGGCACCATCGCTCCCACATCACTTGCCGAGCTTGCCTTCAGGTACGTGCCTGGAGTGCCGCTGGCATGGGGCAATGGAGCGCGTCGAGCGAAGCCATGCAGGTGCGGGGAGCCGAAGACAAAGGAAGGCAGGATACTCTTGGGAGGCAACACTCCAAACGTTTGAAGAAAGCCATAGGGAAGCTCCAGAGTCGAGCGTCCACAAATTGGACTTCAATTTGTCAAATAAGCAGCCATGGTAGCTAAGTGAGGACAAACCATGAATCTGAATCTATGCATGAGACTCCAGAATGGACCCTATCTCTGTATGTGTTGCTTTCCCATTGTACTTGACCTTGTGCAAGGTGAACCAGTTGAAAAGATGGAATGGATGTTCTGGAAAGCTGGGGCTGTCGGTGATGATTGTCATTCGCATCGGTGATGGGTTGGACCCTTTTTACCCATCACGAGAGTGTCGTTTTTCCACGTCCATCAAGCCAGCTTCCGATCTTGGACTGATGCAGGATTGACTCCGATAGGGAGCTTAGGAAACTTTGATTCCTCATATTGCCCGCCACTTTCAGGTGTTCATCCTGGTTGGTTTTGACGATGTTTCGCATTTAAGCCTTTGAGTCTCAAAGTCGATATGACCGATATGACCGATATGACTCATTGCCAAATTGCCCCCAATATATGTATATATAAAATATAGAATATTATATATATATATATACAATTAGTATATTCAATTGACCATTGACACATCTCATGTAAATGACGTGGCTCATAACTGCTGGCTATCCGTGGCTGTCACTGGCCGCCTCCACCCTCCCCCGCCCCCGCCCCCCCCAAAAAGTATAATGCACATAGGATCAAAAGATATCACCCACACGCTCCAAACACCCCTTGCTCCCTCAAATCCTAGAGATTTGCGACCCCAGACCCCTCGTTGTCGCGTTTGGGTCCAGGGTCGCGTTTGGGTGGTTTTTGCGGTTGGCACTTCCCATCTCAGGTCGATCCTGTGAGGCCCGCCCAGCCGCAGGCGGCGGGAAGGGAGCGGAGCGCGGAGCGTGGAGCGTGGAGCGGAGCGATCGTGGAAAGGACAAAGGGTTCAATTGGAAGCGCTGGAAATTCTGAAGCTCAGATTCTTCCGGTTTTTCCGTGAACACAATATAGGACGATAGGCGAGCATGACCAGAAAGGGCTCACTATAGTTCAACTGATGGTTTTCTTATGGGGATTGATGGGCGCGTGTGTGATTGCGGATGTTGTGCAGCCCCTCCCTGCCCCTGTTTGATCGTCCAAGGAGAGTGGTGGATATGAACCCGCTACTCTCAAACTTTTTTGCCTTTGAGCTGGGGGCACCCAGAAAACCCTCTAGCTTGGCTTTTGTCTAGATCTTGACCTGTGATGCTTTCTCCCACACAGGGGACTTCTATGCCCCTTCTGCGTCTCAAAACTCGATGGGACTTCCTCATTGGTCGACGAGGTCCTTCACTGGGACCCTTGAAAAGGGACCTTTTCACTAGAAAGGACCTTTTCAGGGAGCCCTTCTCACGTGAGTCCTTTTTGAAAACACGGAGCATCGCATGTCGTTCGGACCCAGTTCTCTTTGAAACCAATCTCAGCCGCCAGCCATTCCTTCCGAAACCAATCGCGCTCGGCCAGCCGCCCGAGCGCTTCGACTTGCTGCCACGCTCGGTGGTCGTGCACTGGAAAGCGTCGGAGAGCGGCTTGGCGGGCGAAGGAGGCTGGCAGGAGGGAAACCCATAGGCCCAGACCCGAGGATTCTAACCAGCCTTTGCCGAACAAACCTTGTTTGATTAAGGACATTAGATATTAGACTACAAAACCAGGTCAACCATGAATGTTCTATGAATGGTCTTGGAAGGCTAGTGCATGCTGCATATGTTTTACATATGTTAACATCATGTTTCAATCGGTTTATCTCCGACTAGCGGATTTTTGAAAATTGTTGGAGCGTTGATGGATCAGGCCTGATCAGGCTGGATGATTGCATGGTGTGGGCTGGATCTTCATTCGGATTTGCAACTTCATATAACTTTGGGTAGATCAGGCTTGGAGCGGCTTCCCAACCACCTGCGGCTTTCCCAGAACCTAAAAGGCCCCCAAACTTGGAACTTCAGCTGACCTGATCATGTGGGAAACTCATTGGCTCATTGGCCTAGTGAAGATCCTGTACTTGAGAAATAACCAGCATGTGTGATTGCTTTTGTGTAGGGTGGCATGTCTCCCTCCCTCCGCGGTGGAAGAACACCTGAGGTTAGGGGGATCGCTCAAGGAACATGTCGAGGGAACATGAATCCCTTCTCAAATAAGAAAGATAAGAAAGTTCTTTCAATCTAGAAACCTTCTCTAAGAAGGTTTCCAACAGTACTGTAGGTGTTTCTTCAACAAGATAAGAAAGTTATTAGAGAAGGTCCTGTTGGACATGTTCGATGGAGGGCGAAACACCTGCAATACAGCCTGCCTGTGTACAGTGACCAACCCCCCAAGCGGCCCCCCACTCCCCAATGCATCGATTGACATTCGAGTTCAGTAAATCCGTCTTTAGGTGGTACAAGGGGACAAGGCATAGAAGCACAGAATTCGACATGATTTGACCTGCTCCCCTGGAATGTGTTCCCCATTTCTACACATCCAAGAACAAAAAAAACACATCCTGATTCCATTCTGATTTGTCCTATTCCTTCTTGGAATTAGGCCGCATCCCTGTGACAGATCGTCATTACAGTCTTCAGAATTCTGATCTCCCATTTGGCTCGACAAGGTTTTAGTTCAGAAGACCTCGCTGGACTGGAATGTTCTGTACATGGTCTTTGACATAGACGCTGCTCAGGGCTGCTCCCGGTTTTCCTGGGGACGCGGCTCCCGCATTTGGATGCCGAACGTAAGTCCTCCAAGGCTATGGTTGCCAAATCGTCGGTTTTGCGCTCCGTTGGCAGCCCCAGACAGTTTTTTCAAAGTCACTTGGACGGGCCATGGGGTCCAGGCTGGTGTTTCGCAGTGGTCAATGTGCCAAGACCCACCCAATCCACCACAGCTGCAGGATTTTGTACGAACCCACATGGAACTCTGCAGGCGAAGGCGCCATGCCCACTCCTCTTGGCGTAAGACCCTCCGACCAAAATGGCATAAGACGCCCGAGGCTATGCCGAGTCCCGTGACATGAGCCGCAGTTGCGAGGTCACGGGCATCAAGGCGACCGGAGAGAGGGTCGCTCCGTTGGACCCAAAAGTGTTGATTTGAAGGCCACATGGAAGTGGCAAATGGATGCATAAGAGTGCATAAGGTCATTCAGAATCTTGAGATTCAGGAGGAAGTTGCCTTCAAACTCACCAAGTGAGCGGGTGTTGCGGCAACACATGCACACTAGATCAAAGCACCATTTCAACATGCATTATCCAACGTGCATATTCCTCCAATGAGAAGCTGCCTCGGGGTCGGGGTAAACTCATAACTGTTGCCCTTCAACTCCACGTGGAAGTGGAAGACCGGCTGTTTGGCAAGGGGACACTTCCAGGGAGCCATTTGTCACTTCCACGTCGCCTTCACTTAGAAGATAGATTTGGATAGATTTTGGGAACGCGGTGAATATGTTCCATCAGCTTTCCAGTTTAATTATGAAATAATGTACCACGACCACCCAGAGAACAAGCATCATGGCTTAATTCATGACGCAGACCCACTAGAGTCAGTTCCAAACATGGTCCTTCATGATCTGAAAGGATGGTTTCGGGGATGTGTTTTGGGTTACCATGTGAAGGGATGGTCACCAATTTGAAGGGATGGTTTCGGGGCCACGTTTTCACACCATCCCCGGGAGTTTGGCTTTGACCAGGGCGATGCCAGCAGCTTCCCAGTGACGAGCCTTCGACCAGCGCAGACCTACTACTTTCAGGCCTTGGCCCGGGTGGATGGCTCGGGTCGCAACATGTGTCCAGTTAACATCAAAACATCCAGATTACTACGGTATTCTGGGGGATCTGTATGGATTTAGCTTGTTGGAAAGCCCTTCTCCCCTTGTTGGAAAGCCTTCCCACCTCCCCTCCACCAGGTGCGCTGCATCAACCTGATGGGCACCTCCGATTGGTCGGATCCCTCGATGCCGGTGAAGATCAAGCAGGACCCGGCAAGGCTATGCTGTATATATGATATTCCGTATATTGTTATATATGCTGTTCTATGTATGGTACATATACACATTATACGTGTGTTACACGCATATACATACACACATATAGTCACGCGCATGCGGCGGCGCATGAGTGTTTTCATGCAGATCGACTGGGTGTGGTGCGGTGTGATAACACACGATCTCAAACTCATCGTTGCGTTGACAGTCACCACCAATGGCTGCTGCTATTCAGACTCCTGGTGGCCGAATTCGGGATTGTAAGAGTTGAGGTCCAAGCAGTGAGATCTTGCACAAGAACAAGGCCCAAAAACCATAGAGAATGTCGGTGATGAAGGTAAGGAGAGTGAAGGTAATTCTTGATGATTCTTGAGATTTACTATGCTGGATCGACTGACTAGTTCCAACCGGGTTTCCGAGAAGGTGCAGTGCCTTGTCCTTCCAAGCAAAATCTGCCTATCGCCTATCGCATGTTTATTTGTGACAGACGTGCAGGAGCAGCTCATGATTCCTCCATCTCAAAGTCCAACATTCAACAAACGCTCCTTGCGATATATATATATATATATATGATAATACCCCTCCCGGGGCACCATACTATATTTATACTTTTACCTTTACTATACCATGCTTTTCTGTACTATTCTAACTTACATACATACATATATCCTGAAAAACATCGTTGCCTACATCGGCCAGGATGTGCCGTGCAAAATGTGGCATCCTCAAGCCCGGTGTGTGTGTGTGTGTGTGCGCGGAACCGCTGGCCTGACAAGCCGCTGCGTCGCTGCGGCTCCCCCCATTCGAAAGATGGTGATTTGCACGCTCGTTTGGCTTAACCTGAGAGTGCAGTCCATTTACTTTGTGCTGATCCTGACAGTGGCTGACTGATGTTGAATGCTGATTTGTATGGCATGACTAGCACCAGTGGGCACAGAGACCTGCCTGAAGAGGATGGTGTTCGAGAACACAGATGCAAGCTGCGCAAGCTGCAAAACAATGACCAGGTTGTGGCCAGGTGCGGCTTTGCAAGGTTAAGCCCACTTGATTTGATCAGATTAATTTGAAGAGTCCTCCTCGTGCACATTATATAGATAAATGGCGAGGTTGTCACCAGGCTTCAGAGTGGCCACAAACTGGGGATCAGAGGTTTCAGTGTGTTTGGATGTTTTCAATCCTTTGGGGTAAGTATGTCCCACTGCCTTTGGACTACTACATTCAAATCTTGTTGTACTCACATCATATATTTATATATATAATATGTGAAATAGCTCGATCGATAGACAGAGGACTAGAGAGACAGAGATGACGAAGAGAAAGGTCGTGCATGTACATGCACCATCCAGAGAAGGTGTATGATTGTGTAGGGTCTTTGCTTATTCTAGCATATGGAGATTCTCGATGGACCGTTTGCTTTGGGCTAAGGTCCGCTCCGGTTCTGATCGAGAAGTCTGCTTGGTCCTCAAGGGACGTCAAGGTTTGTTCTTTGGTCAAGACATCCCTTGGACCAGTGACAAGGCCAGACTCTAGATGCTGGCCCAGTAATGCTTCAGTGTAGTTTAGCATGGTGTGAGGCGTGCCCGGCCTCCGTCAGATCTCAGACTCACGACAGACCTTCTATTCTGATATCTTGGGTGGAAACAGTGGAGCCTATGGGCGTGAGGAGTTCCAGCCATCGACCATCCAGCCACCGTTTTGGCTCGAGCCGTGCCTTAAAAGTATCTCTACTACCCGGCTTGGAGGGTTACGGCTAGAAAATAAACGTAGTGTGATCAGTTGCTGTCATTTAAGTTTTTGCATCGAATAGTTTGCATGTTCGGCAGCTTGCAGCCTTTCAGAGGATTGTAGCATCCTTGTGGCCGCCCAAGAGGTCGCTACTACGGAGCTGTGGGGCAACATGCAGATATATTATACCGCAGCTAGGTTTAAGATGGTCAAGGTATGTCTAGCTGAACCACGCTCCATTAAGTTTTTGAGACCAGCTGTTGCCCAGTTAAACCAGCTTTACCCTGCTTTCCTTTAACTTGTAGATACTTATAGCCAGCACACTGAGAGTCGCATCCTTTCACTGGGAGTATGGTGTCCCAAACCCTTCCGGCCAAAATGGCCTGTTGGACCTTCCTCATGAAGTGATGCGTGTCCAAGTGGCCCTTTTGAGCGGACATGCCGCCTTCATTGAAGCAGAAGCTGATTGGAGTATCCAGAAGTTTCGGCGTCGGGCGCAGGCGGCCAAAGCTGCATTGGTTCGGTTGGGGGGAGGAACTCGGATCGACTTCTTCTTGAGGAAGGACCAATAGGGAAGGGTTTGTGCTCACTATGTGTGCGTGTTTGTTGTGCAGCCCACAGGATTACTCAGATTTGCATAGGCATCGACTGACATCGACTTTCGACAATCGTTGACTCATCGACTTGTTCCACAGAGAGTGCGGGAGGGGGTACGTAAGAGATCATGAGAGGATGTCTCCTGAGATGGCGAAGCAGAGAGAGAGAGAGGGTATCTTCAACGTGTCCCCCTTTGCTGAAAACTTCTATAGATGCATTTAGATGTGTATACATAATAGTCAGAAGCTCAGAAATATCAAAACAAACAAGGCCAGAAGTAGCTGGCTCATTTGGTCTTTCGCCAAGGACGAGCTGGAGGTCGGCCTTAGCAAGTTGGTCAATGCCAAAGGAGAGCTCCTGAATCTTAGCTAGACGTGGCCTTGGATACCCATCAAGACCTGTGGGGCCACTATTTTTGGGATGACTATCCACAAGCTTTGGTCAGTTATGAACTAAATGTCCTCACAACTTTGGCAACCTTCCCACTTGTCCACAGATTGAAGGGATTTGATCAGTCTAGGTTCTTTTGTTGTTTCGCATGCTTTTCTGTTTGAAGTTATGGTCATTGCCCTTGTCATAGGAAGGACAGTCAAAGGCCCACTCCCAGTCATGGGCAAAAACCTCCCGAGCATCCTCCACGTTAGCCTCCGGATAGGGTTTGAGATATTTGCATATATATATATATAGAGCAATCCTTTGGAACATGCATCCCAACAAACAGATTCACACATCACGGATTCTACACAGCTCTACACAGCCATGAGGTTCTCAGAAAATCGACGGAGTCCTCAAACATCCTCAAACTTGGTTCCCAGGATGGGAGCCCAGCTTCTCCGGGATGTGGTCCAAGAAGACGAGACGTTGCATGCAACGGTCCGCCGGCCGCGCATTGTCTCCAACCGGCGAGCCCACGCCTTTGCATGTGCCCAGACGAGTGCAGAGGGGGTATAGATCTTCAAATCCCTTTGGGATGGAGTTAGTTGCAAGTCCAACAAGTCACCAACCTCCAGAAGAATGGGGCCCAGTGCTACGCATAAACCCGTTTGTGGGATTTGGTGTTTTGGCTTAGCTACATCGCGTTTTGAACCTTAAGCAGGCCCCGTTACAGACAGTTCGAACATGTTCAAATAATTTCAATTATATATATATGTACAGAGATGACTGGCCAGAAGGTGAGGGCTTCCATACCTGTGGCACGCAGCTACTTCGTTGCTCCTGTATTCTGAACAACTTGAAGATTAGAAGATTCGTTTCAGAACCTGACCATAGATTCCTTGGATAATGAGGGAATCCACCCAGCTGTTGTGTAGAGATCTACCGCGTTTCACCGGCTTGACGTTGGGAGTCTTGTTTTTGCACAGTCGACCAAGTAGACCCAAGTGTATCGGTCCAAGTCCGTTGTCGTCCAGTGGACTGATACGGCCAGAGGAAGACAGCAGCTGTTGCAGCTGTTGGATTGGTTTGCTTTGTTTGTTCCAATCAACTCCTTTGTTCACACATATATATATATATATACATGTATCTTGTAAGGTAAGGCAATGCAATGTCATGTAATCATATGTCATGCATTATAATGTAATAATGTGTATATATATATACATACATACATTTCTGTGCTTTCCAAATAATTGGCCCGAAAGACAAACAGAATCCCTTCACAAGAGCTTTATAACAGAATATATTATAATAGAATGACTGCATACATTTGTTTGGGGTGTACCTACTCTTTCTCGTTACCAGTCAGTCTGATTCATGCTATGTCTTAGCAACACCTTTTACCACCAGCAAGCATATCCACAATCCTTGTTCTTGGTTCCAAGAATGTGTGCGTACAAGATCTGCACAATGTTGTACATTTGTCTTTCAGCAGCGCAAGTTTAGGACTAACTCGTTGTCTATGTTCAGCCAAAATCTATATACATATTGCTCTTTAACATGACTAACTAGTCCAAATCAGCAAGATACACTGTAAATACCAATGAACTTTGAACATAGCATTGGTGTTTGAGGGGGTATATACGGTACGCATATACAAACACACGCACAAACATTTGGCAAGCTTGTAAAATGATGGGGGTTCATACAGCTACGGTGGACATGGTTTTGATGCAAGTACATTGTTTGTCCGCGCGGTCACTTTACATGTGAAACACGGCTGTGTTTGTTCAAAAGATTAATAAACAGTAGACATAGAGTTCCAGTTCTAGTAGCTTGGAGGCCATCGCTATTAGGTTGGAGGCCATCGCTGCTAGGGTGGAGGCTATCAAACTTCCGACGTCCGGATTCACCCGAGTGGCACAGAGGCATTTGCATGGATGGCTCGGTGCTTGCTTGGGGCGCTCAGGCCGCAGGAGATTGCAGCGGCTTGGAAACACAGGGCTTGGGAGGTGGGCAAAAAGACCCTTTGTGAAACAGGCACGGATTCACGGATTCATGTTCACCCCAGTGATGTATAAAAGAAACCTTGTCCTGTGGACATGTCTTTCAGCAAATCCTTAATATGCCGAGAGGTGCATGATGCAGACAAGGGTTCATCGGGCTACCATTTCTTTCCACCACCAGCGACCGACACATTGAGTGCCAGCCCCAGCAAGAACAGAGAGTGATAGTGCTTGGAAGAAACCAAAGCAACCTTCGCTAGCCCGGCCCTTGGCCACAACCGGAATGAAGTGAGTTGTAGTGTTTAGAGGACACAAAATATTCTCCGGCATCCCGCAACAAGCACGAAGAGTCCTGTCGTAGTCCACGCAACAGCTGTAGCATGCTGCAACAATATCTCGTAGACTCATACAGATTTATGAACGCAAAGTCCGCTAAGTAAAACTCTACGGTCCGATATCAACGGGCCTTTCAAAACAAGCCTCCCGCCACAAGCAGGCTTGAAACCAGGTACTCGTAGGAGCAGTGTGTTGAGTTGTTGGGGGATTTCAGTCTTTCCCATTCCTTGTGCCAAGGAAGTTGGTTGAGGCTTTGCTTTGTAGGAGTTGCCGGTGAAGTGGAAGGTGGATCTAAAGATGGAAGTGGGCAGAATCGCTCTAAGAAGGGCAGTTGTCCTTTGCCCAAGCTTCACTGCGAGAGCTAATTACTGGCTTTTTTTTCTATGAACAACCTGGCCATCTACCTGGTCAGCGTTTACTTTCCTTCATTGGCCCATGACATCCCATGCTAGCTGCTAGCTGTTCATGCAATTGGAGAACCCGGATTAATCCAGGTTGCCCGATTGTGAGGATGGCTCCCGCGGACAGCATTACCAGAGCTTAAAGCCTGTGATAGCCGCTGATAGCGTGTGTTTTTCCGTGCCTCAACTGAGACCAAGAGAAAAGATAAACCGATCAGTGATCAGATCAACTTTGGGTCTCAGGATAGAAGCTTGAGACCAATCTTTGGTCCAGATGGACATCCCTGTCGCTAGTAAGATACCGTGTTGCAACACCCTGGGGGGACGCACCCTGTGAGCCCCATTTTCTTGCTTCCGCCACAAGAGAGCAGAGCTTGGCCGTTATGCTAAGTTATGCCCAGGCCATGTGCGAGAGACTTGCTTGCAGCGGGCCATGGGCACCGCCTTGCATAGGCTTTTGAACCCAGAAGCTCACAGGTCCCTCATGGCCATGTACTGCTGCAGTAGATGCTGGAGGCTCCGGTGGAGAGTATAGTAATATGTATAAATCAGAAAGCCAGGTTCAGGGGGGTGTCTATGAATGAATGTGTCATTTAAGCACAGGCCTCCTACTCTAGAAGCTGTTCTTTCAAGCGCAATTTTCTTGCTTGAACTGCTGATCCAGCTGGCACTGGATCCAAATGACCTATCAGGGCGAAGCTGTCTCCACTACATATGGGTGAGTGCGAGTGTGCATTTCAATAGAGAGAAATCCAATCAATGGGTTTTGGTCTATTTCTCTGCTTCTGTTTTTTTTGTGGGGAGGTCATCCTATTTTAGTACACACCCATTTGTCCACTCCACTCCACTCCACTCGGACAGGAATGAAACTCTGCAACCTTTCCGAGTCTCCCAGAAATAGGATTGATTTTGGGAAAGTCTGCAGGACACCTTTCCTAGTTACCCATCGTTTTGAGGATCAAAACGGTTCTAAATGATTTAGTTTTTTTTTTTACCGTCGAGTTCCCCTCAACCCAATCATACCCAATCCATTGATCTTCCTGGTGCTTCACCTGGTCAGATTCCCCTGCTCGCTGTTCCACCTGGTGCCTCCAACGCAGCACTCAGGATCAGCTGAAAGAGGTGACCTCCCTGAGCGCCATCGCCGGTGCTTTCGCAGCACTTCTGGAGAACGGCGAGGCACCGGAGAAATCGACATGGAGAAATGGGATGGGGTGATGAGCTAGGCAGCTAGGCTGATGTTCGGGGAGCACATGATAACATCCCCTAGAACTATTTGATCACCATGAATCATTTGGGGGTTGCTCAGTTGGAATGGGAAGCTGCTGGGTGCAGGGTGCTGGAAGGGGATGAACATGATCAAAGACTCAAATCATGTACACTTGGCTCACCCATCACATGGCTCACCACGCATCCCACGCTTTTGGTGAGATCTCTTGAGTCTGTGGGCATCGGCTTACTCGTCACCTTCCGATCCAGGTCGTCACCTGGGGCGATCACATCTTCGGTACCTTGCGCTGATCGCCTTCTCGGGTGAAGGAGGAGTTCCGGTGGAAACCGGAGTTCGGCACTCCCCCTTTTTGGAACATCTTGGGAACCCAGGCGAATCGTCCTGGCAGTTGTTTGTCAATTGAGGTGTTGTTCTGACATGTTCTGCCCGTTTTGGCCATATGTGTGGGGGCAAGAATGGACCGGAGAGCGGAATCTGAATGCATACTTGATGGATCTTGAGCGCCTGTACGACAAAGAAATGGTTCTGTGATCAATCCATCACGTGTTCATTTTATATGATCTCATATATATAATGACTATTTAAGTAGACTCTAAATGTATACGTGCTCCTTCTCAGCACCATCATCTCACAACCATGGAAGCACGACCAAATCATATGCACGAGCCTAGCCCCCCCTCAACCAACTCATTTCTGTCAACATGTTTGAACCGAGCATTTGGGGGGCACGAAAGTGGTGGGTTATTTGTTACACATTTACCATCATCCGCTCCCTTTTCCTGGACACACAAAGCACCGACGTGCCCGATGGCGTGAGTGGACAAAGCGACTGATGGCGGACCAAGCCGCGCCCACGAGGCGGTGACACGAGCTCGTTGAGAAGCACGCTGAAGGAGGTCAGAGAGACTCTTGGAGTCGCCACAGGGATGAGAGCTAACGCTGAGTGCGCCGGGAATTACAATCCCTGTGATGTGGATGAAATGAAGTACTGACCCAGAAAAATCATGATTGATTGACCCTCACTGCTTACAACTCCTGTCTTGAGCATATCATGCCGTTCTAAGGGTTCAGGCCACTGCCATGGCCTTCGCCGCTTTGCGCGCAGATGGGACAGTCATCACCTGGGGCAGCAGCCATGTGGGCGGCAACTGCAGCCGTGTTCCTGGGCGTCGCAGCCGTGTTCGTTGCGTTTAGAGAAGAGAGAGACCTCCAAGTCTTGGATGTTCAAGAGATCCCCAAGTCGTGGATTCTCAGCACCTGAAGTGCAGCACTCAAGTGCTGAACTGGTATTGCTTTGTTGTCACAACTCACATAGAGAGTTCATACGTCAGCATTTGGAGCCCTCAACGGAGGGATCCGTTCAGCATCGTTCAGCCTTTAGTTGGTCCAGTTTTTGTCAAAGACCATGGAGTAGGCAGACAAGATAAAACGAATGAATACATCATTCCGAATCATTCCATGACTGTTGGTATATATTTCTTTGACCAACTCTCCTGGCCAGTCCATCTTCGAGGTCCTTCTCGGTCAGCATGGTTGGACATGGGCCATAGGAATGTTTCATAAGACATGGGGGTATGGACACTGTGACAGTCATCAACAAACACACATGTGGAGAATGGTGGAAACAGGTACATGTTCACCACAGCCATCACCGCAAGTGCTTTGCATCCCCTCCCAGCCTTGGTGATTCGTGGGCTTTTTGGTCAGGTTCAAGGCCACCTTCGGCAAGTCCAAAAGCTTTTTGCATCTGCCGGGGCTTTCGCGGCTTTGCGGGCAGACCAAACTGTGGTGACCTGGGCCAAGCAGACTTCGGGGGCGACAGCAGCCAAGTGCAACACCTACTGAGGAAACCTCCCGGTCTTTTCAGAGCGCTGCGGGCGCGCCGGGCTTTGCTTGTCTCCCATTTTGATGTCCGATGTTTGAAGGATCGATCACGGGGAACCCGGGGGACTTTCCGGGGATCACGTATTGGTTGGGTTATTGTTGTGACCGATCTGCAATTGTGGCCTTCAAATCCCCAAGAGTTTGATACGTTACAATATGGATGACTTTGCGTTGACTTATCCCCTCATCGAGATGCCCTCCTAGAGTCATGCGTAGAAATGCCAAGCGCGAGAGTTGAGGGCCTCTTGTAAATAAGACACCCAGATTGGTGTGGACGATTTACGGCCGGGGCTCATGTGATTCCACCTCTTGGGAAAGGGCATTCACGCAGAGCCAAGCCATCACTTCGCAGAAATATGGATGGTGTTTTACACCTTTGAACCGGACTCCTTGGGGCACCGCACCCATTGGCACCAAGAGCTTCACAACAGTTGCACCCATTGGCACCAGCAGGAATGTCCGGTGCATCCAGCCCTCCTCCTTTGCCTTCGCTGCCATCTTGGAAAATGGCTCCGTGGTGACATGGGGAGAGCCGATGTCCGGTGGAGATTGCAGCCGTGTGAGGCAGCACCTTCAGGATGTACAGCAGGCAGGGGCCCCGGGTGGTTCTCACAAATTCTCATGGGAGCATGTTTTTTCCATTTGCGGCAGGTTTTTGGCAGACCCAGACCGCAATGCAGCGATGGCGAACAGCAAGTACTGCACCATGTGGGAAGGTGTAAGGGCTTTCTCGATCATGTCATGTCCGCATTGGTTCTTGATTCGCTGCCCGTTCGGGATTGATTCATTTCACACTTCTTGTAGAGTCGGGAGTAGCACTCTGGCAGGGAAACATGAACGGTAGGACTTGGCAGTGATGGTGGTTGCCGCTCTTTAAGGTCCGATAGGTTCAAGTTGCAAGAAGGGAACAGTTGCAAGTGTGTTTGTGGCTGGGTGGGTGTGGTAGGCTGCCTGCTTCAGTTTAAGGAATTCTGCAGTCAAGTGAAGAATCTTGGTGTGGTCCTGTGCCCGATGGGAGATTGTTTATTCAAGGGAATGAAATCATCCCTTGTTCATTGTTCTAGATTCTATGTGTCTCGCTACCTACCCTTGTTTCATAACCTTGCCCACATCATCCCACATCTAGCTCCTCAGCTGTTCGAACCTCCTCCAGGGCGAATCAGGTTAGGTGGGTTCAGTGGGGGGCTCACACCAGCCCTACTCCGCTCCCTTCTGGGCGCGCTGTTCCGCAAGGCTGTCCGATCGCCCCGACTATCTTAGGTTTTGTGGCTACCGCTGGCCTACGGAAGGTTGAGTCTAACCTTGGTCATGATGCTGAGCGTAGCTGTACTTCCATTTACATGGATGACAGAACTTGGTGGGCTAAAGATTGGCATGAAGTTGGTCCTCGCGTCCAGGAATGGGCTCGGTGGTCCGACTCTATCGGTTTAAAGGAGAACAATCGCAAGACTCAGGTTTGTGCGCGGCGCTCTTTTGACAATGACCCTTGCCCGCCTGAGTGGAAGGTTTCTGAAGTCAAAGCCCTTGGGGTCTCTACCACGTCCAAAGTTCGTAAATATACGATTGGTGAGCAGGAGAGATTGGACAAGGCTGAGAAGGCTGCTTCGCTGTTGGTTGGTGCGTCTCTGCCTTGGACTAGGGCTGTGGAAGCTTTTAGATGCTTCGTCTTGAGCATTGGGGCTTATGGTTGGGTCTGTAGGTCTCCCACCCTCACGTCCGGTGATCGCCTCTTGAAATCTTTCAGGCGTGTTGTTGGTGGCAAGACCCGAATGGCTAGTAAATGGCTTCTCATGCTCTTTTTCGGTGGATCGCTTCATTTGGTGAGTGCGGTGATCCAACGGCTGTGGGGTACACTAAGCAAGCTTGACTTACCTTGGTGCAACTCTTACGTTTCGCCTGTTGGTGTGCTTCGCAGGCAATTGAAAGGGATTGGTTGCAGTGAGGTGCGCCCTTGGACGTGGCGTTGTTACAGCGGTGTCGAGGTGCAACTTTTTCGGTCTTCTGACCGTCGAACACAGGGTCTCTCTGCTCAAAGGCATGAATTGAGAATGCAGTTTCGGTGGCACGCTTTCGTTCAGTGGCTTCGCTGTCAAAGACATGAGGTCACGCAGCTTTTGCAAGATCATTCAAAAGAAAACTTGGAACAGTTTTTTCGCTGTGTCGATATTGGCTTCACACGTAAGCGTATGGATACGGACTCTACCTTTAGGCATGTTGCTCTGGGGGCCTCTGTGTCCCCGGCTTTGTATGACCCCGCTTTGCAGGATTGCCCCTTCTGTCAGGGTAGACTCAGACCGTCTTGGATCCACTTGGTGTGGCATTGTGAGCATTTTCGCGACTGTAGGCCTTCTAGGCCCCGTAACCCCCTCACCGCTAGGTTTGGTTGGGCCTCTGGCCCGGCAGATTCGGCTGTCATGGATCATCTCACTAAGGTGCAGGAAGCCGTGTGGCGTCTTCGCCACGGGGAGGAGCGTTGATGCGCAGCTAAGGACTTTGCGTGCTGATAGCAACTCAAGGGCTACAGCACCTACAACTCCATATATAGGTGCGAGCCACAGCTGCAGCCTTTGCTGCAATTAAGCAGGATGAGACCGTGGTTACTTGGGGCTGCGCCGAGCAAGGTGGCGACAGCCAAGCAGTCCAGGCACAGCTGCAAAAAGTCCAGGCCGGGGGACCGACCAAAATCCGACGAGTGTTGTGTGTGTTTTTTGGGTGCTAGTGCTTCAACAAAGGGTTGACTCTAGATGATATCACTGATATCCACTATAGGATCCACTATAGTTATAGTACATTTTGGAGGTGAATAAACAATAATAAACATTCCAAGTGGTGCAGGAGCTCTTCCCTCAAGAGTAGGTAGATTCTACGTTCTTGCAACATCTCCTGCTAGGCTTCAATGGAACTGGAACTCTTGGGGCCTGGAAGTTTCTCTCCAATCGAATTCAACAAATTCAGCTGAGTACCTCCAATATCCCCCAATCACTTGGCATCAAGGCCTGGACTGGCCCCAGACCATGGACCGCCAGACTGACCGGCAGATGGGCGCAAAAAAAGAACCGACTGAGCAGTCCTTTGATGTCAAGAGTCAGGTCGCGATTTCCGTAGTACTTCATCACTGATATGGGTGTGTGTTTTAATCGGGAGACCCCGTTGGTTGTTTTGGTCTATTTTGTTCTTCCACGGGGTCGAACCGGGAGGTCTCCCCATTTTAATAGACATCCACCCATCATATACCACTTTTGCACGTGGACATGATGACCTCGAAGAAAGACACAATGACGGCGCGCGGTTTTGATGTGGGGATGCCGCTTCAGGACATTGAGGCGAGCAGCCGCTCCTTTTGCGCGTTGCTGGCGGATGGCCAGGTGGTTGCTTGGGGCGACCCTGCAGCCGGAGGGGATTGCAGTCAGGTGCAGGTGCCCCCCCTGACAACAGCTTTTTTGAGTGAAGGCGATGGATTTGGCCACCCACAAAATGCCAAAGATCCGCCATCATGGATCAATCTTACCAAACATATTTTTGCAGATTCGTGAATCGAGGTTCAATCATTCAGTTACCTCACGTCGCATCAATGAAACAACCGCATCATTACTGAGTCATGTAACCACTGAAAAACACCGCACCACGGAGAAACAAGCACGCTTGCCAGGAGCAGCTGAAGGCCTTCCCCATCCTTCAAATGAAAGCCTCTTCTGCGGCCTTTGCAGCAGTGAACAGCCAGGGCCGTGTCGTGACCTGGGGGGACGCAGCCTTGGGTGGCGACAGCCGACAGGCGTGCTTGCGGCGTGCAGCACCCGCACGTGCACGCGTGGACGAAGTGGGAAGGAAGTGGTGAATTGGAGATGTTCGGAGCTGAATTAGTCAGGCGAGATCAGCTGAAGAAACTTGTGAGTTGAAGATGTTTGAAATGTTTTGTTGCGGCTACTTACTGGCACTGGCGGTGTTTCTCAAGGTTTTCCCATTCATTATCCTTTCCTTGATCCCACTCTGAGAGGGCCAGTAAGGAGTGATAGAAGATGATAGAAGCTCCTCCCCATTCACGACTTTGGTCATCGAGAGTCAGCGCTTGACGCGGAAAGCAAGTAAGGCGGCTGTTCCTTCAAGCAACTGAGGGTGACATCTTAGCAAAGTCCAGTAAAGCAATGCAGTGCAGCTAGCAACGTCCGGGTCCACAAGCCGCTCCCGTTGAAATGGGAGAAGCACGTACAAACAGAAAGTTAGATTTGAGGTGTTTTGAGTGTCTAGACGCCGTACCAACCACAAAAAATGACACCCTTTGGGTCCGGTAGGAAGGTTTCGATGGAGATTTTGATAAGAATTTGTCTCATGTGTCTCACATGATCTCACATGCCATGTTTCTCCCACTCGACCAGCACACAACGACCACAGCAACGCCAGAGTTGACCGACTCTTTCATTTGTTGAGCTTCCGAAGAACCCTGTTGACCTCCTGTCGAAGAAAACGGAGACACGTTTCAGACCCTTTAGACTCGATGGTGGCAAGAACGACACACGGGCGGAAGGCGATGACAAGAGGATTGGGGTGATCCTGTGGTCGTTTGCCTTTTCAGGGTCCGTTGCCGCTTCAGGTGCAAGCGCAGCTGGAAGGTGTTGAGCTCTTGCAAGCCTCAGCGGGCGCTTTCGCAGCGATGGTCTCCAGCTCCTTGAATGCCGAGTGATGAATGCAATTTGTACATGCATTTCTCTACACCTATTATCATATTGTACACGCGCAGGGGTGTGTATATATCTATACTAATTATATACTATATATTAACATATTTGATCATATTTGTTTTTATATACATACAAATGTGCGTGTAATATGTACACACCCATATATATATATAGTGTATATATATGCATATACTACACTCGAGTGACTAAGGAATTAACGGAGGCACATGCCAATGTTAGCATCCTTACCCATCAGACACTTACTGTTTTGCAAATTTGCTGCAA